AGAAGAGGAAGGTTTAGGAGGAGAAAGAGGAGGAGACTTAGCCTGAAAAGAGAACTGGGAGAAGGATAAGCAGGTGGAGGAGGAAGAAAGAAGAACCAAACATTAGGAAAGAGAGGAGGAAGAGTAGGAGAAGGAGCAGAAGGAGAAAGGGGAGGGAGTTAGAAGAAGTAGGAAGAGAATTAGGAGAAAGATGAGCTAGTGGAGAAGGAAGAAAGAAAAACCAAACATTAGGAAAGAGAGGAGGAAAGAAGGATGAAGGATTAGAAGAAGGAGAAGGAGAAAGAGGAGGAGAGAAGAAGAGAGAGAGAATTTGGAGAAGGATAAGCAGGTGGAGGAGGAAGAAAGCAAAACCAAACATTCGGAAAGAGAGGAGGAAGAGTCGGAGAAGGAGCAGGAGGAGAAAGAGGAGGGGTTAGTAGAAGTAGGAAGAGAATTAGGAGAAAGATGAGTCCGTGGAGAAGGAAGAAAGAAAAACCAAACATTAGGAAAGAGAGGAGGAAGAGTCGGAGAAGGAGACGGAGAAGGAGGAGAAAGAGGAGGGGAGTTAGTAGAAGTAGGAGGAGAATTAGGAGAAAGATGAGTCCGTGGAGAAGGAAGAAAGAAAAACCAAACATTAGGAAAGAGAGGAGGAAGAGTCGGAGAAGGAGACGGAGGAGAAGGAGGAGAAAGAGGAGGGGAGTTAGTAGAAGTAGGAGGAGAATTAGGAGAAAGATGAGTCCGTGGAGAAGGAAGAAAGAAAAACCAAACATTCGGAAAGAGAGGAGGAAGAGTCGGAGAAGGAGCAGGAGGAGAAAGAGGAGGGGTTAGTAGAAGTAGGAAGAGAATTAGGAGAAAGATGAGTCCGTGGAGAAGGAAGAAAGAAAAACCAAACATTAGGAAAGAGGGGAGGAAGAGTCGGAGAAGGAGACGGAGGAGAAGGAGGAGAAAGAGGAGGGGAGTTAGAAGAAGTAGGAGGAGAATTAGGAGAAAGATGAACCCGTGGAGAAGGAAGAAAGAAAAACCAAACATTAGGAAAGAGAGGAGGAAGAGTCGGAGAAGGAGCAGGAGGAGAAAGAGGAGGGGTTAGTAGAAGTAGGAAGAGAATTAGGAGAAAGATGAGTCCGTGGAGAAGGAAGAAAGAAAAACCAAACATTAGGAAAGAGAGGAGGAAAGAGTCTGAAGGATTAGAAAAGGAGAAGGAGCAGGAGGAGAAAGAGGAGGGGAAGAAATAGGAAGAGAATTAGGAAGAGAAGGAGGAAGGGAATTAGAAGAAGTAGGAAGAGAATTAGGAGAAGGATGGGCAGGTGGAGGAGGAAGAAAGAAGAACCAAACATTAGGAAAGAGAGGCGGGAAGAGTCTGAAGGATTAGAAAAGGAGAAGGAGCAGGAGGAGAAAGAGGAGATGAGTTAGAAGAAAGAGGAAGAGAATTAGGAGAAGGATGGGCAGGTGGAGAAGGAAGAAAGAAGAACCAAAGTGTGGTGGGTTGCAACGGGAAGCGATGTGATCCCATTCTTCCCGCAAAGAGAATCCTTCCAAATGAGATGATCCCAGTCGTGATTGCTAGGTTGGCAGAAGCTGGGGCTGACAGTGGGAGCTCACGCCGCTCCCCGGATTCGAACTTGTGACCTTTCAGTAAGCAAGTTCAGCAGCTCAGAGGTTTAACCCACTGCGCCACCGGGGGCTCACTTCCCATACATACATACAAACATAATACATACGAGGGTTGAATGAAAAGTAATGCCTCCACCTTCGTAACTCCTCAACAGATGGCAGTACTGGTATGCAGCAGGTACTGGCTTGTTCAGTAGACTCTCCTCTACAGTTCCATTTTGGCAGGAAGCCTTAGCATTGAACGGTTGTGCTGTTAAAGTGAAAAGTACTGCCTCCACCTTTGTAACTCCTCAACAGATGGCAGTACTGGTATGTGGCAGGTACTGGCTTGTTCAGCAGACTCTCCTCTACAGTTCCATTTTGGCGGGAAGCCTTAGCATTGAACAGTTGTGTTGTTAAAGTGAAAAGTAATGCCTCCACCTTCGTAACTCCTCAACAGATGGCAGTACTGGTATGCGGCAGGTACTGGCTTGTTCAGTAGACTCTCCTCTACAGTTCCATTTTGGCGGGAAGCCTTAGCATTGAACGGTTGTGTTGTTAAAGTGAAAAGTAATGCCTGCTCCACCTTCGTAACTCCTCAACAGATGGCAGTACTGGTATGCGGCAGGTACTGGCTTGTTCAGTAGACTCTCCTCTACAGTTCCATTTTGGGAAGCCTTAGCATTGAACGGTTGTGTTGTTAAAGTGAAAAGTAATGCCTCCACCTTCGTAACTCCTCAAGATGGCAGTACTGGTATGCGGCAGGTACTGGCTTGTTCAGTAGACTCTCCTCTACAGTTCCATTTTGGTGGGAAGCCTCAGCATTGAATGGTTGTGTTGTTAAAGTGAAAAGTAATGCCTCCACCTTCGTAACTCCTCAACAGATGGCAGTACTGGTATGCGGCAGGTACTGGCTTGTTCAGTAGACTCTCCTCTACAGTTCCATTTTGGGGAGAAGCCTTAGCATTGAACAGTTGTCTTGTTAAAGTGCAAAGTATGGCACCCTGCGCAGACTGGTAGGTCAGTGCGACTTAAGCAATGTGCAGTCATTGAATTCTTGACAGCAGAAGGTGATTCATCAGAGAATGCAAGCTGTTTGTGGTGATTGTGTTGATGTGAGTACTGTGCATCGTTGGGCAAGTAAGCTTAAAGATGTTGAGGTGACACCTTCTGCTGTCAAGAATTCAATGACTGCACGTTGCTTAAGTCACATTGACCGACCGTCTGTGCAGGGTTCCATACTTTTCACTTTAACAACACAACCGTTCAATGCTAAGGCTTCCGGCCAAAATGGAACTGTAGAGGAGAGTCTACTGAACAAGCCAGTACCTTCCGCATACCAGTACTGCCATCTGTTGAGGAGTTACGAAGGTGGAGGCATTACTTTTTCTGCTAAGGCTTCCTGCCAAAATGGAACTGTAGAAGAGAGTCTACTGAACAAGCCAGTACCTGCCACATACCAGTACTGCCATCTGTTGAGGAGTTATGAAGGTGGAGGCATTACTTTTCATTCAACCCTCATACGTACATACACGCGCAGAGAAAGAGAGATTACACCTGATGGTTAGCTGGCCGTATGCGCCAGAGTCGTTTTTCAACTCTGGCGCATACCTCCCCTTTTCTGAAACCCCTCCCCTCTTGAACAATTAAAAAACTTAGAGTTGTTGTAGTTTTTCGGGCTATATGGCCATGTTCTAGAGGCATTTTCTCCTGACGTTTCACCTGCATCTATGGCAAGCATCCTCAGAGGTAGTGAGGTCTGTTGGAACTAGGAAAAGGGTTTATATATCTGTGGAATGACCAGGGTGGGACAAAGGACTCTTGTCTGCTGGAGCTAGGTGTGAATGTTTCAACTGACCACCTTGATTAGCATTCAGGAACAATCTGGGGCCCAACAAAGGATTCCCCCAGGCAGGAAGCAGCCAGGCTTTGAAGCTGCAAGTCCATTCAATGTTAATCAACCATTCCAAAGCTCCCTGCTTGAGCAGTGATGGCACCATCGTCAGCATAGATGAATCTCTCTGGTCTTTCTGGCAGTGGCTGATCATTTGTGTAAGTCAATCCTTTGTTGGGAGGTGTGAGCTGGCCCTGATTCAAGGCGCTTCAGTGCTAACCCAGGTGACCAATGGCAACATTCACACTTGCGTCAAACCGTTCTTTCACATTCCAGAGATATATAAACCTCTTATTGTCGAAGAGAGGAAACAATCAGGCACATCTAATCGCCTCTCAACAAAAGATTGCCCCAGGCACTGCCAGGCCATTAAACGCTAATCAAGGTGGTCAGTTGAAACATTCACACCTAGCTCCAGCAGACAAGAGTCCTTTGTCCCACCCTGGTCATTCCACAGATATATAAATAATAATAATAACATACTATTGCATCTAATCTAGAACATCTAATCACCTCTCAACAAAAGATTGCTCCAGGCACTGCCAGGCAATCAAATGCTAATCAAGGTGGTCAGTTGAAACATTCACACCTAGCTCCAACAGACAAGAGTCCTTTGTCCCACCCTGGTCATTCCACAGATATATAAATAATAATAATAACATACTATTACATCTAATCTAGAACATCTAATCACCTCTCAACAAAAGATTGCTCCAGGCACTGCCAGGCAATCAAACGCTAATCAAGGTGGTCAGTTGAAACATTCACACCTAGCTCCAAGAGACAAGAGTCCTTTGTCCCACCCTGGTCATTCCACAGATATATAAATAATAATAATAACATACTATTGCATCTAATCTAGAACATCTAATCACCTCTCAACAAAAGATTGCTCCAGGCACTGCCAGGCAATGAAATGCTAATCAAGGTGGTCAGTTGAAACATTCACACCTAGCTCCAAGAGACAAGAGTCCTTTGTCCCACCCTGGTCATTCCACAGATATATAAATAATAATAATAACATACTATTACATCTAATCTAGAACATCTAATCACCTCTCAACAAAAGATTGCTCCAGGCACTGCCAGGCAATGAAATGCTAATCAAGGTGGTCAGTTGAAACATTCACACCTAGCTCCAACAGACAAGAGTCCTTTGTCCCACCCTGGTCATTCCACAGATATATAAATAATAATAATAACATACTATTACATCTAATCTAGAACATCTAATCACCTCTCAACAAAAGATTGCTCCAGGCACTGCCAGGCAATGAAATGCTAATCAAGGTGGTCAGTTGAAACATTCACACCTAGCTCCAACAGACAAGAGTCCTTTGTCCCACCCTGGTCATTCCACAGATATATAAACCCTTTTCCCTAGTTCCAACAGACCTCACTACCTCTGAGGATGCTTGCCATAGATGCAGGCGAAACGTCAGAGAGAATGCCTCTAGAACATGGCCATATAGCCCATTGAAACATAAATAATATATACATAAATAAATAAATAAGATTGCTTACCAATTAACAAAAAAATAATTATACAAAACTTTAAAATACAAGTGTCAAAATAAAATGTAACGGACGGACGTTATGAACGGAAACGGAGTTTCGCTCTCCGAGTACAATCCTAGAGCGGCCATGAAAAGGTGCAGCGGATACCTTAGATGAGCGTCTTCCCAATAGGAGGGAAAAGAGAAGAGAAGGAAGCGTAACGGAGTCAGCAGGTTGTGGGGACGTTCCCGAACCCGTGCCTCCGGAGAGTGCAAGGGAATGTCAGCGGAGATGGCACATACCCAGGTTGAACGTAACGACGGGCCTCGGAGACAACAAGCGGACTCGGCGATGCCGCCGCCATCCTCCCAGCCCTGTTTACGTTTTGTTTGCTTGTTGTGTTATCTTTTAAGGCATCAATAGACACCAGCAGGAGAGGCATCGCAAAGAAGAGCGCGTTATATAGGCTAATTGTGACATTCGCAGCCGACGCAAGTGACTTCGACCTACGTCGATGACATTTCGATATTGCCAAGCTTGTGTCCACTCGGAAACGCTTTCAGTCGCGTGTGAGACAGTTGAGGAAAGATGAAACAGATGAGGAAAGCCAGGAGGTCCCTTGTTGTTTGTTTTGTTTTGTTTGTTTAAGGTGTGATCTAGATCCACGCTCAGGAGCAAGAACGGGCCTCTATCCAAAGATGTCTCTCTCGACGCAGCGTCGGCACCGTCGCTGCGGTGTCGGCAGCGTCGCTCTCCCGCCCGTCACAGCGAGTGGCGGCCACAGGGGTCAGGCCAGGTCGGTTTGGCGCTTCGACAGATGCTGCAGTTCCCTTGCGACGAGGCGTGACCGGACTCTTTGTCAAAGACTCGTCGAGGAGACCGAGAGGGTGGGCGAGGAAGGAGGCGGGAAGTTGAGGAGTTCCAACACGGCCACCCCGACGCTGCTGCGGCGGGTGAACATGCAGGACGCCGCCACCCACTTGTTGGTGCGCGGGTTGTACTTCTCAATGGAGTTGAGGCTGGAGCTGCCGTCGTTGCCGCCCACCGCGTAGAGCCACCCGTCCATGGCCACCAAGTCGTGGGTGCTCCTGAGAGGGAGACAAATGGAAAAGGGTGGCATTACCAACGTGGTTGTACTCGCAGCTACTGTTGGGGTTCAGCCTTCATGCGAAGCTGAGCCTCAATCTCTGTGTGAACCTGAACCTGATTCTCTAATTGTATTTCCTGATGCAACTGAACAGGACTCTGAACATGTATCTTTCCCTGATGGTTTTGAAACTTGATTCTGAGGCCAGTGGTGTTGCAATCCAGAGCAGGTAACGAGGCCCTAAGATAACTATCCACCACACTTGACTGTGAAAAAGCAATCCTTTTTTATTGAAGAAAAACAGTTACAGAATAAAGGAAAAATGCAAAGTCAAAAGCCACAGCAAAATCAGCAAACATGAATGTCCATGAACAAGATCAAAACCCAAAGCCACACTGTAAAATACTGGAACCTGTTAGCAATCCACTAACTGTACTTTGTGTTCTAGAAATCTTTCAAGACGATGGTCAGGGAAACCGGGAGAACTGCCAAGGTCTTCATCAATCTAAAACGATGCCTGAACTGAGAAAGTCAGCCCGGCGGAAGGCACTTAAAGCCAAGGAATTGGTTTCGTGAAACGCCTCCCCGCTTTGAAGCCGTTGTTTGTATTTCTTTTAATCTGGAAGACCTTCGCAAGCTGAGTGATTTACTCCTGTCTTGCCAGATCTGCCCCCTTCTGTTCTCATTAAGGTTCCCAGGTGCAGAAGGGAGTGAAAGGTCATCGCTTCCCTCTGAAACATTCTCATGAACACTGGCACTTTCATTTTCCAAATCTGCAGAAGTTTCTTCCTCACTAATTTCAGGAGCATTGACATCAAGAAGTACATTTTCATTAGCATCGGGAAGTACATTTTCATTAGCATCAGTAAATATATTTTCATTAGCATCAGGAGGTACAAACAGAAAATCAGGTTCAAACTCAGGCTGAACCCCAACAAGTGGCGGGGAAAGTGAAACTAAATTTCCTGATGAGAATGTTTTAGAATCAAGCGGTGATAGCTCTCCAGAGGAACTCACACCTGGGTTTTTTAATGAGGACCGAAGAGAACAGATTTGGAAAAACAGGAGTGAATCGCAGTTTCTACGAAGGTCAAATAGATTACGGGAGAGGGAGGCTCTGGCTTCAAAGTCTGGAGGCATTTCAAGAAATAGTTTCTTTAGTTTAAGGGGCCTCTCCCCAGCTGTCTAAAAAGCCAAAAAAAAAACAAACAATACAACACATGTGCAAAACCACATATATACACACATACACAAATATATATACACACACAAAACACATATACACAGAAAGGGGGAAGGAAGGAAAGAAGGAAGGAAGGAGAGAAAGGTAGAGAAGGAAGGATGAAGGAAAAAAGTGAAAGAAGGAAAGAAAGAGAGAGGGAAGAAAGGACAGAAGGAACGAAAGAGAGAAAGAGGGAGGGAACGAGGAAGGAAAGAGACAAGGAAGGATGGAACCAAAGAGCAAAGGAAAGGAGGAAAGAAACAGGTAGAGAAGGAAGAAAGAAAGGAAAAGAAGGAGGAAAGGAGAGAAGGAAGGAAGGAAGGAAGAAGAAAAGAAAGGAGAAGGAGGAAAGAGAAAAGGAAGGAAGGAGAAGGAAAAAGAGAAAGAGGGGAAGGAAGGGAGGAAAGAGAGAAGGAAGGAATGGAACCAAAGAGCAAAGGAAAGGGAAAAGGAAGAGAGGAAGACAGAAAGGGGGAAGGAAGGAAGGAAGGAAGAAGAAAGAAGAAGAAGGAAAGAAGGAAGGAAGGAAAGAAGGAAGAAGGAAAGAAAGGAGAAGGAAAGAAGGAAGGAAAAGGAGGAAGGAAGGAAAGAAAGGAAGAGAGAAGGAGAGAAGAAGGAAGGAAAGAGAGAAGAAGGAAGGAAAGAAAAGGAAAAGGAGGAAAGAAAAGGAAGAGAAGGAAGAGAAAAGGGGGGAGGAAAGAAGGAAGGAAGGAAAGGAAAGGAAGGAAGGAAGAGGAAGGAAGGAAGGGAAGAGAGAAGGAAGGAGAGAAGGAAGAAAGGAGAGAGGAAAAAAAAAGAAGAAGGAAGGAAGGAGAGGAGGAAGGAAGGAAAGAAGGAAAGAGAAGAAAGAGGAAAGGGAGGAAGAAGGAAGGAAGGAGAAGGAAGGAAGAAGGAAGGAGAGAGAAAGGAAAAAAAAGGAAGAGGAGGAAAGAGAGAGGGAAGGAAGGAAGGAAGGAAGAGAAAAGAGAGAGGAAGGAGGGAGAGGAAGGAAGGAAAGAGAGAAGGAAGGATGGAACCAAAGAGCAAAGGAAAGGAGGAAAGAAACAGGAAGAGAAGGAAGACAGAAAGGGGGAAGGAGGAAGGAAGGAAGAAGGAAGGAAGGAAAGGAAGGAAGGAAGGAAGGAGAAGGAAATAAAAAAGTGAAAGAAGGAAGAAGAGAGAGGAAGGAAGGGAAGAAAGGAAGGAGAGAAGGAGGGAAGAAAGAGGAAAGAAGGAGAGGAGAGAAGGAAAAAAAAGTGGGAAGAAGGAAGAGGGAAGGAAGGAAGAAGGAAAAAAAGAGAAGAGGAGAGAGGGAGGAAGGAAGGAAGGAAGGAAGGAAGGAAGGAAGAAAAGAGAGAAGGAAGGATGGAACCAAAGAGCAAAGGAAAGGAGGAAAGAAACAGGAAGAGAAGGAAGACAGAAAGGAGGAAGGAAGGAGAGAAAAAGAGGGAAGGAAGAGGGAGAGAAAGGAAGGAGAGAAAGAGGAAGGGAAGGTTGGCCACAGCAACGCATGGCTGGTACAGCTAGTAGTAGTAGTAATTATGATGATGATAATAATAATAATAATAATAATAATAATAATAATGATGATGATGATGATGAGAGTTTCATCTATGCCGACGATCGTGCCATCACCACTCAAGCAGGGAGCTTTGAAATGGTTGAACAGAAGCTCTCCGAAGCTTTAGGTGCCGTGACTGCCTATTACAGGGAAAATGAGCTTGCACTATCAATGTCTAACATTTACAGAAATGATCCGCCACCGCCAGAAGGGACAGAGAGTTTCATCTATGCTGACGATCATGCCATCACCGCCCAAGCAGAAATGGTTGAACAGAAGCTCTCTGAAGCTATAGGTGCTCTTACTGCCTATTACAGGGAAAACAATATTCGGTTGTTTTCTACCTGGGCGGGGTCTTTTGAACAGTGGCACCAATGGTGGAACTGAGCCCCAATCCCTCCATGGAAGACGTTGCTCCCTACCTCCGGATGTTCATGGGTGCCACGCTTTCCCAAGTGTTTGTTTTGGGATTGTAGCGCTCCACTGAATTAAGGCAACTGGTCCCATCATTGCCGCCAGCCACGTAGAGCATCCCTTCCAACACAGCTACGCCAGCGCTGCTACGGCGGCTGAGCATGTTGGCAATTGGAGTCCAGGTGTTGATCTGTTGGGAGGAAAGAAAGGAAAGAGAAGAATCCGATCATGCACTTTTGAATTAAGGGAATCGTTTGTACCTTTCCCTCTTTCTTGGTATTTGTAGACATCAGCTGATGTGATCTATCCAAGGCAATTTTCTGAATCAGCTGATGTGGTCGATCCAACGCAATTTTCTGAATCAGTTGATGTGGTCTATCCAATGCAATTCTCTGAATCAGCTGATGTGGTCTATCCAACACAATTTTCTGAATCAGCTGATGTGGTCTATCCAATGCAATTTTCTGAATCAGCTAATGTGGTCTATCCAAGGCAATTTTCTGAATCAGCTGATGTGGTCTATCCAATGCAATTTTCTGAATCAGCTGATGTGGTCTATCCAAGGCAATTTTCTAAATCAGCTGATGTGGTCTATCCAAGGCAATTTTCTGAATCAGCTGATGTGGTCTATCCAAGGCAATTTTCTGATTCAGCTGATGTGGTCTATCCAATTCAATTTTCTGAATCAGCTGATGTGGTCTATCCAAGGCAATTTTCTGAATCAGCTGATGTGGTCAATCTAATGCAATTTTCTGAATTAGCTGACGTGGTCTATCCAGGACAATTTTCTGAATCAGCTGATGTGGTCTATCTAATGTAATTTTCTGAATCAGCTGATGTGGTCTATCTAATGCAATTTTGTGAATTAGCTGACGTGGTCTATCCAGGACAATTTTCTGAATTAGATGATGTGGTCTATCCAAGGCAATTTTCTGAATCAGCTGATGTGGTCTATCCAAGGCAATTTTCTGAATCTGCTGATGTGGTCTATCCAAGGCAATTTTCTGAATCAGCTGATGTGGTCTATCCAAGGCAATTTTCTGAATCAGCTGATGTGGTCTATCGAAGGCAATTTTCTGAATCAGTACCTCACATAAACAAGTCAAGTGCTCCCTGGTCAAAAAAAGGTTGGGAACCTCCATTTTCCCATCCTCCCTCCTATGATGCAAGGAGATGCTCCCATTTCCCTTCGACCTATACATCCAATCCTTTGCTGCTTCCCATTTACCTGGGGCTCATACTTCTCCACAGTTGCCAGGTGCGAAGAACTATCATATCCCCCAACAGCATACAGATTGCCCTCTGTAAGAATAGATGGAGAGGTCAATTGCATATATCCAATAACAGTGATAAGTTAAAATATACAGTTTGATGAGTGGGCAACTGTGTAGGAGCCCAAGAAGCTACATCGGTCTGGCTGTACCTAGATAAGCTGGGCTTACCTAGCGTTGCCACTCGGACGTATCTCCTTCTCGTACTCATGGCAGCGATCGAGGCCCAGGTGCCTGTTAGAGGATCGTATCTCTCGGCACTAAGAGGGAACGACACAATATGGCCGACAGTCAGGACAGCTTCACAATGGGTTGCAGTGACACTCAAAAGGACTGCAGTCATCTCTAACCACTAACAACAGTCTCCCTGTTGTGCCACCTCTACAAAGTTCTGGAGAGACTCATTTTGCACAGAATTATGGGGGGAAAGACCCCTCTCTGATTCCACAGCAAGCTGGCTTCAGGAAAGGCAAAAGCTGCACATCGCAAGTGCTGAACCTGACTCAGCACATAGAAGATGGCTTTGAAAGGCAGCAGATCACAGGAGCTGTCTTCATAGACCTGTCAGCGGCTTATGAGACTGTGAACCACCGCCTCCTCCTGAGAAAAATGTATAATATCACAAAGGACGACCACCTCACCCGCCTCATAGGAAACCTGCTACAAAACAGGAGCTTCTTTGTTGAGTTCCAGGGCCAGAGAAGCAGATGGCGGAAACAGAAGAACGGCCTGCCTCAGGGGAGCGTGCTTGCTCCATCCATGTTCAACATCTACACAAATGACCAGCCACTGCCAGAAGGGACAGAGAGCTTCATCTATGCTGATGATCGTGCCATCACCACCCAAGCAGGGAGCTTTGAGATGGTTGAACAGAAGCTCTCCGAAGCTCTAGGTGCCCTTACTGCCTATTACAGGGAAAACCAACTGATCCCTAATCCATCTAAAACACAGACATGTGCCTTTCATCTCAAGAACAGAGAAGCATCCCGAGCTCTGAAGATCACCTGGGAAGGAATCCCACTGGAGCATTGCAGCGCACCCAAATACGTGGGAGTCACTCTGGACCGTGCTCTTACCTACAAGAAGCACTGCCTGAACATCAAGCAAAAAGTGGGTGCTAGAAACAATATCATACGAAAGCTGACTGGCACAACCTGGGGATCACAACCAGACACAGTGAAGACATCTGCCCTTAAGCTATGCTACTCTTCTACTGAGTATGCATGAGCAGTGTGGAACACATCTCACCATGCTAAAACAGTAGATGTGGCTCTTAATGAGACATGCCGCATTATACGGGGTGTCTGCGCCCTACACCACTGGAGAAATTACACTGCTTAGCCGGTATTGCACCACCTGACATCCGCCGGGAAGTAGCAGCCAATAGTGAAAGGACCAAGGCAGAGGCATCTCCAGCTCATCCCCTGTTTGGGTATCAGCCAGCACGTCAACGACTTAAATCTAGAAATAGTTTTCTAAGATCTACAGAGACACTCGCTGGAACGCCTCAGCAAGCGAGAGTCCAAAAGTGGCAGGCTCAAACCCAGCACCTCAATCAATTGCTGATACCAAATGAGAGATGCAACAGGTGAGCCCACTTACCTATTGAGACAGGAAGCTCCATCGTACCCTCCAGCGGCGTAGAGAAGTCCATGCAAAGCGGCCACTCCCAGGCAGCTCCGCCGGGTTCCCATCGAAACCTCCGTCTGCCATGAGTTGGTGACGGGATCATACGACTCGACGGTGGCCAGGTCTGAGGTCCCGTCATAGCTGCAGCGAAACAGGACTTTTACAAGCTGGTACTTGCAAAATAACTGGGGAGAGGGAAGCATGCAAAGGGATCTGGTAGCACTTCGGAGACCAAAACAAAGATATTGGTGTCATGCTTCTGAAGAAGTAGACTTATGTCTATAAAAGCTTTTGCTATCCAACTTTTTTTCTCTCCACGAAGTCACGAGGGAACACTGTACTCACATTTGCATGTTTTCGAACTGATAGGTTGGCAGAAGCTGGGGCTAACAGCAGGAGCTCACCCCGCTCCCCAGATTCGAACTTGTGACCTTTCGATCGGCAAGCTGAGCAGCTCAGCGCACATATCGTCACAAAAGGATGAACGAGAGTAGGTGCTATGTGCCTGTGCTATCCTAATAATATAATATATTGTATATACATATAATATTTATAATATTATAATGTCATACAATATAATACTAACAATAATAATATGATATTATAAATATATTGCATATACATATATTTACAATATTATAATGTAATAAATATAATGCTTATACTAATAATATGATATTATAAATATATTGTATATACATATAATATAATATAATATAATATAATATAATATAATATAATATAATGAAATATAATATATTGTATATACATATAATATTTATAATATTATAATGTAATACAATATAATACTACTAATATTGTGCTGTGCTAATAATATAATTTATTGTATATACATATAATATTGGTAATAATATTATAACGTAATACAATATAATAGTAATAATAATACAATATAATAATTGTATATTATATATTATAATGTAATAAATATAATGCTTATACTAATAATATGATATTATAAATATATTGTATATACATATAATATTTCTAATATTATACTGTAATACAATATAATACTACTAATAATAATATATTATAAATATATTGTATATACATATAGTATTTATATTATAATGTAATACAATATAATACTTAATAATAATATGATATAAATATATTTATATACATATAATATTTCAATATTATAATGTAATACAATATAATACTAAATAATAATAATATGATATAAATATTTGTATATACATATAATATTTATAATATTATAATGTAATACAATATAATACTAGTAATAATATGATATTATAAATATATTGTATATACATATAATATTTATAATATTATAATGTAATACAATATAATACTAATAATATGATATTATAATTATATATTTTATATTACATGTAATATTACTAATAATATATATAATACAATATAATACTACTAATAATAATATATTATAAATATATTGTATATACATATGGTATTTATTATATTATAATGTCATACAATATAATACTAACAATAATATGATATTATAAATATATTGCATATACATATATTTACAATATTATAATGTAATAAATATAATGCTTATACTAATAATATGATATTATAAATATATTGTATATACATATAATATTTCTAATATTATACTGCAATACAATATAATACTACTAATAATAATATATTATAAATATATTGTATATACATATAGTATTTATAATATAATGTAATACAATATACTAATAATAATAATAATATATAATATATTTATATTACATGTAATATTACTAATAATAGAATATAATCGTATAGTACAATATATTATGATATTATAAATATATTGATATACATATATTTACAATATTATAATGTAATAAATATAATGCTACTACTAATATATATTATAATAAATATAGATATAATATAATAATAATATATATGTAATACAATATAATATACTAATAATAATATTATAAATATATTGTATATACATATAGTATTTATATTATAATGTAATACAATATAATACTAATAACAATATGATATTGTAAATACATTGTATATACATATAGTATTTATCATATTATAATGTAATACAATATAATGCTACTAATAATCATATATTATAATTATATTACATATATATTATAATATATAATAATAATAAAATACAATATAATAATAATATAATATATTGTATATACATAATATATATAATATATATATATACTATAATATATAATATATAATATAATATAATAATACAATATTATACATTATAATATTATAATAATACAATATAATATACTAATAATATATATAATATAATATATTGTATATAATATAATATTTATATATATATATAATGTAATACAATAGTAATAATAATATGATATAATAATATATTTATATATAATATTTTATATTATAATGTAATATAATACTAATAATAATAGTATGATATTATAAATATATTGTATATACATATAGTATTTATAATATTATAATGTAATACAATATAATACTAATAATAATAAAATATTATTACATCTAATCTAGAACATCTAATCACCTCTCAACAAAAGATTGCTCCAGGCACTGCCAGGCAATGAAATGCTAATCAAGGTGGTCAGTTGAAACATTCACACCTAGCTCCAGCAGACAAGAGTCCTTTGTCCCACCCTGGTCATTCCACAGATATATAAACCCTTTTTTCTAGTTCCAACAGACCTCACTACCTCTGAGGATGCTTGCCATAGATGCAGGTGAAACGTCAGGAGAGAATGCCTCTAGACCATGGCCATATAGCCCGAAAAAACCTACAACAACCCAGTGATTCCGGCCATGAAAGCCTTCGACAATATATCATAAATATATTGTATATACATATAATATTTATAATATTATAATGTAATACAATATAATACTAGTAATAATATGATATTATAAATATATTGTATATACATATAATATTTATAATATTATAATGTAATACAATATAATACTACTAATAATATAATTATATATTTAAATTATATGTAATATTACTAATAATATTACAATATAATGGTATAGCACAATGAAGTAATATATAATACTGATATTGTACTATGCTAATCTATATAAATAAAAATGTCATGTTCGTTTGTAGGATTAACATAACTCAAAAACCACTGGACGAATTGACACCAAATTTGGACACAATACACCTATCAGGCCAACGAGTGACCATCACTCATAAAAACACCGAAAAACACAGCAGAAGGGACTTAAAAAGCCAAAAAACAAAAAAATTACAAAGAGATGTTGTTAAAGGGGGCTCCGTTGTCAGAGACGTTGTTATACCTGCGCACTGCTATTATGACCGGCATGACGAGTAGGGCAAAGTGGTTTCTCCTAGACAGGCAAGGCCACCTTACCCTCCCACAGCATACAGCTTGTTCCCAATGGCAGCGACGCCCACCCTGGCCCGGCGCGTGGACATGGAGGCCACCATGTGCCAACGGTCCGTCCGAGTGTCGTAGGCCTCACAGTCTCCATGGATGGCAAACAGGCTGCCTCCACCTGCAAGAAATAAAGTGTGACTGTGGCAGTCGTTAGGGGGAAAATAAAATAATAATCATAATTAAAAATCCTTACCAAGATTCAGACCGCTCAAAGGAGGTTTTGCAAATTAAAGGGAAAAAGCCAACAGAGCATGGATCGATAGGAGGTCAAGATGACTGTTTTGAAGTACATGTTTATACAAGCCGAATGTTTACTCTAAGCTGAATGTTGACCACCAAAGAACTGGCACCACATAGAAAATCAATAGATATCGATCCAAGACTTGGAACATCTAAGGTCATATGGTAAGAGAGCGCCATCTCCTGACTATTTGATGTAAATAGCAGGTAATTTCAGAAACGTTTTAGTTAGAAGTAAATTCCCGGGGAACTAAGTTATAATTATGGCAGAATTGATAAGGAGGTTGCCTTGATCAACTTTTATATTAAAAACATACATAAAGTTATGTTTCATTTAAGAGATCTAAGGGAATTAAGAGCAATTGAACATGTCATCTGGGGATAAGGGATAAAAGGTTAAATAGTTATATAATGAGCAGATGTTTGGGGTCATGATGGTCTTGCCAGAAATATGTCCTTGGCAACTACATATGAAAATTCCTGTTAATGATTGTATTGTGTAAATGTCAGAGTTGTTCTACGCATGTGCAAAACTAGCAATTCCATGCTATAAAAACTGGACTAAATGTGACATCAAGTGTGCATTAGCCTTTGGTTATGCTGATCACTCTTACTCCGGAGTATGAATAAATGCCTGGAACCCTGCCAAGCTGTTTCTCAATCTTCTTCCTTCTCCTAAAGGTACTCAATGAAAACCTGGTAAATATTGATCTGCTGCTACATGACGAGCTGGAAAGCAAAACAATGCAAGTCTCCCAGAAATGCACGTTTTTGGGGCTTACCCACGGCAAAGAGAACGGTGCTGGCCCCCTCGCAGCGTCTGGGACGGGTCCGGCTGTTACTAAGGACCCCCCTCTGCTCGGGCATCAGGTGGTACTTGAGGGCCTCAATCAGGAGATCCTTGCACTCCGAGTGGTGCCGCACAAGCAGTTCCGTGTCCACGTTGCTCATCAGGAAGTCGCGGCTCAGGAGCGGGAGCCGGACGCACTTCATAAGCTGGGAAGAGGAAAGGAGAGAAAGCTAAATAAAAAGGCAAGTCTGGACGGTAGGAGACACAAGTGGGTGGGCCAAAGTAAACTCATTTACCCTAAATACTCAAGTATAAGGCGACTTCCTCGGTCCTTTTTTAAGACTGAAAAAGCCCCCCCTTGGCTTATACTCGAGTCAAGGTTGATTATCATTTTACTCTATTTATTATTATTATTATTACATTTATTCTTTTATTTTTATTTCATTTATTATTATTATTTCTTTATTATTATTATTACATTTATTATTCTACTCTATTTATTATTATTATTACATTTATTATTGTACTCTATTTATTATTATTATTTCATTTATTATTGTACTCTATTATTTTTGTTATAACATTTATTATTTTCTCTGTTTTATTATTATTACATTTATTATTTTACTCCATTATTATTATATGAATTATTTACTCTATTTATTATTATTATTAAGTTTATTGTTTTGCTCTATTATTATATGTATTATTTACTCTATTTATTATTATTATTATTATGTTTATTGTTTTACTCTATTATTATATGTATTATTTACTCTATTTATTATTA